TCTTATTGGTCACATGGGGACATCCAGACTTTAGTACTAAAGGTGGAAAGGCAGGAAAAACAAAGCAGGCAACCACCACTAATCAAGCAGCCACCACCAGTTGGCGACACCAGCAGAAGCATACCTCAGGGAGTTCAGAAAATTGGTTCAGATAAGGATCAAGCCACGTCTGGTAAGAAGAAGCTTGAGAAGAGTAGCACGCCTATTAGAGTCCCCTTCAAGCAATGCTTCAAATGTCACGGATATAGGCACATCTTCTTCAGCTGCCCAACAAGAGGAGTTGTGTCTTTCACTAAACAGGGCGCTGTAGAAAATGTTAGTGACGAGCAGACAGCTGAGGAACAGGGTGAGGTGAATCATCTGCCACAGGATGAAGGAGAGGCACTCATGGTTTGACGGGTCCTACAGAGACCAAGGATACGAGGAATCCGCAGTGGCTTCACCACAATATATTCAACACCCGTTGCACGGTAAATGGAAAGATATGGAATCTCATCATCGATAGAGGGGGCAGCAAGAATGCGACATCTACACAGATGGTTGACATGAGTCAATTTTATGCATTTTTACTGCATTGAACCATGATTTTTACCCATTATTTTGCCTTAAATATCATGAATTTATGCTTGTGAAAGTTTTTTGTTGAAGATGTGCAGATTACAGCACGAGCTCGTATTTCAGAATGAGAAAAATCAAGGTTCAGGCTGCCAAAACTAGCTTTACCACGCCTAGAGTTGGCGTGACCATGCCACTGTATCAAATGCAGTGGCGTGACTATGTTGGATCGGGCGTGACCACATCGCCCTATTATATGGCTGGCATGATCAAGCCGCCTGATCCACAGAACTGGCGTGACCACGCCAAGTTTGGGCATGACCACGCTGACAATGCGAGAAATATTTTATGGAAGAAATTTCTTGCTAAATCTGAGACTATGGCTATAAGAACTTACATAGGGAAACTTGGAAAGAATCTTGGAGGATCAAGGAGAGCTGCAGACAAAGGTTGAGAGATTGAGAGAGAGGGGGGAGAGATCCCCTCCATTAGGGGTTGCTTCCTTGCTTAAGGTTAAGGTCCTAAGGATTGTTCATTCTTCCCTTTTCTTTTGTTTTTCTTTACTGATTTGGAGAGATTATCGTATGAGAAAGAGAGAGCGTCTGCTTTTGTAGAGAGGACAAATTATTTTGTAAGTTTTTACCTTCATGTTTTGCTTGCAACAAACATTTCCATGAATTTGATTTCCATTGCTCTTTCAATCATGAGTAGCTAATTACTTTTTCGTCTCTATGATATAGGAATTGTGGTTTCATGGTTCTCATATTGATTTTCAATGACATTTTTCTAAAATTTCATGCAAAAGTTATTGTGTTAACCTTTGGATTTCATTTACTCCCGATCTAGCCAATTAAAATGCTAAAATCTTTCGTTCGACTTCTGCACGCCACGTAGAGGAACGAAAAAGTTAACCACAAAATTCTGGTAAGAATAGGCATATTTATTAAGATTTTGCGAGTAAGAAAGGGGATCTGAATAATCCTGAGAAACGTCAAGGGGTTAAGCGAAAGTTAACTTGATGGATTTTTCATTCTTCTTCTGACCTAGGCATAGGCATAAGAAGAAAATTTTATCCCTATTGACAACTATCATGTAGGGGAAATCTAAAAAAACTACAAACTACCACGATACCTGAATCATAAAGGCGTGAGCCCTACCTCTCTTGATAAATCATAAGAAATCACCATTGTTTTCTCAGTTTTCCAACTCGTGCTTTTTTTTTTTTGTTTTTAAGTATAATTGTAGGAATTAAATTTCTTTCTCATAATCACGCTGAACTAGTTTTAGAAGTTTAGCAAACTAGAGATTCACACTTTTGGAATATTTTTTGGCTCTTTCCTAGTGGGATCGATACGAAGTACTCTGAATCTGCATTATTACTTGACATGCATACTTGCGTAATATGACCAACTTGTTTCATCGCAGCTTTTTTTGTCATTAATGATGAATAAGTTGGGTCTCGTGACTCAAAGACACTCCCAGTCATATTCTCTAACATGGCTTTAGAAGGAAAACAAGGTGCTTAGTCGAGTTTTAGATTGGGAGTCAACAGCAGAATCAAGTGTGGTGCGACGTGGTCCTCACGGATTTCTGTCACCTTTTATTAGGGAGTTTGGGTCAATTTGACAGGATGACTCGATATGAAGAATTTGGAAACACATATTCTTTCATCAATAATGGGAAGTGCATAATCCTTCTCCCTTTGATGGAGCACAAGATCACAAGGCTCTTGCCAGCAGAGCAACATCGGTGGGACTAGTTTTGGTGACGATAGTGAATGATAGAACAGATACACCGGCTCTAGACATGGGACAGGCATGAAAGAGGGCATTTCAGGATATCACAGTTGATACCTTACCAACACCACCACCAAGGAGAGGTTCAGGTTACCCCCACTTCAGACCTGGTTAAGCCGACTGTAGATTACTTTGGGAGTATTCAACAGTAGAGGTCGGACATGCATACTCAGTTCAGTAGTAGACTCCCAGAAGAATGAACTGACGTGGATATTTGCTCATAAGATGGGAAAGATTGTCGGGTCCCTTAGAGGATGGTGTAGTCGTCGGTGGAATTCGGGTGCTGTTAGGATTGTAAACAAAGAACCAAAAACTTCGACAAATTAAGTCAAAACTCCCCAACCCCAGGAGACTTATGCGGAATTATGGAGGTGGGGGGCTTTGGAGGCCGACTGAATCAATTTGTTGGATGGCCAGCTAAACGAGGAAAGAAATATCCTATTCCAGCTCCCTACCTTCACCCCCTTCCTTTTGTTAGTTTGCCACTCCCTCCCTTTCTTTTTCAGGATGTTGCCCAAAAGGGGTCCCCTTCCTAATTTATCTCCTAGTTATTACATAGTTGTTTTGCTTGATTAAGGTTAGTTTTCGATCTTCCTGATTTCAAATTTTTATCCAGGTTGTCATTGATGGTTGTTTTCCTTATAAGGTTGTATCTGAAGGAGAGAATGTTCTTCGGTTATAACTCGACTAAATTAGTGATCTTCTCCAACGATTAGAGAGATGCTCCGGCATGCAACTCGATCCCGCTGGGATACTTATCTTTCCTAACTCCCCTCTGCAGTCCACCTTTCCCCTTCCTCTACCTGCTAACTACTATAACTCCCTTCGATTTTGTCATCCACCTTCTTGCCACCTACCCCGCCTCTCCTCCTGCCTGTCCGACCACCAAAAACCTCTCATTTGTTGTTCAGTCAGCCTTTCAGAGCCCCCATGACAACCTCCTCAACCCAGCAACCGCAACCCTTCCCTTCATATTCCTCCTTACAAAAACCTGTAGCCAGCCTCCCCTTCTTATATATCCTTGTCAGTAACAAGCAGCTAGCTCTTGCCCTCCAAATTCACCTTGTCATTAAGCTGCCGCAAACCCTCCTCTTACCATTTCTCCTTGTCGTAATCTGTCACCAACCCTCCCCTTCCTATTTCTCCTCGCCCTAACCTCTTCCCCAACCCCCTTCCTACCACACCTAATCCTATTTGAGGTCTATGCATATTGTCTTTCGTTGTTATTTCCTATTGTCGATTGTGTTCGTTGGAGTTTATTTCTTGATTGCCACAGTCTTGGTAGTAAATATTGAATATTAACAATAAAATTTGCATTTTTATTATGGTTTGGGTTAACTCCGGTATCACCTATATTTACAACATTTATATATATTTATATATTCACTAATTAATATTGATTAATTATTTATTAAATTAACTACAAATTAATAAAAATTTATTGAATTAGTTAATTATAAAATAATTACACAAATTTATATTCTACTTCACTTAGCAAAACAAAAACAACAACAAGCCTTTATCCCACTAAGTGGGGTCGGCAGCATGAATACTTTTTATCCATTGCGTCATATTATGTCATATTTTCATTTAGCTCTAATAGATTAAGACCATTTTTTATACAATATGCCCAAGTTCTTTTAGGTCAACATCAATCTTTCTTAACATAAGTTGAATCTAAAACGTCTAATCTCCCAATCGGATCATCAGATGATCGACCTTTAATGTGACCAAACCATCTAAGACGACTCTCTCAAATCTTATCCGCCATTGGAGCCACACCAACCCTATCACGAATATATTCATTTCGCATTTTGTCTCTAAACGTCAAGCCACTCATCTACCTAAGCATTCTCATCCGGCAATACTTAACTCTATTTTATGTTTCTCTTTTAAAGGCCAACATTCTGCGCCATAGAGCAAAGCACGTCTCATCAACATCTTATAATGCACTTACAATAAATTAATTAACTATTAATCAACAATCAATGAAATTTATTAAAAACAAGTTAAATAAAAGTATATTAAATCGTGAACACTACCTCCTGCTTACAAACCTCAACTCTTTTTTCCCGTTTCGCCTGAAGCATCTTTTATCTCTTGCATAAAACCCTTGATGCATAGCGCAATCGGAGCAAGCAGAGAACAAAATGACAGGATCACATGAAAAAGCCAAATGATGTTAAGCTAAGTGAAAAAATTTTAAATACCATATTTTAACTCCCAAGTTTTTCATCTATGCATTCAAAGAATCACTTAAACTATTTTGAGGATTCAACAGGCTAAATACCTAGAATATTCAACATCCACTGCTTAAGGATTCATTGTATTGACCTTTTAAATTCCTTCAAACTATGATTCTTTTAAAATTCCATTTAAATCTAAAAATTCACTACATTACAAACAACAATTTACAAGCAACTTTAGCAAGCTGTGTTTACTACTTGTTCACTAGCATAATTATTAATACTATCATGGTATATAGGATTGGATGATAGAAAATAATCACATATCTACTGAAACAGGCACATGAGTTGTGCAGAGGCCAAGCATGAGTCATATTTATTTCCAAAATTAAACATATTCATGAGCAAATGCTTTTTCAAAACAGAAAGCAATAAGAATGTAAATACTGCTGTACATCAATACCTCATCATAATTTATTGAATCAAATAACGAGAAGACTTTAATTGTTGTTGTACCAGGCCTTTTGGCCCGCACAAAACCAGAAGCAGACACTGATACAATTGCCTCATCAGCAGATGACCAAAACAGTTTGCCACAACCTGCAATTACCACCACCAGTTCAGCGCCATTAAGAAATGGATTCTTAAATTGAAAATATGGTTGAAGATATGAATGTAATTACCTCCAGTTGCCATCAATTGCACTTCCTGGTAAATACCAGGGGCCCAGGGTATGCGGATAGAATCTAAGGACTCAACTTGCTCTCTGATACTAAATTTCACTTTTCTGCAGACATTGACTTCTTGCACAACCTTGAGAACCTAAAATAGTAGCGACATAATTATGAAATGAATAAATATGTTGAATATAAAAATGAAGTAGGTTGTCAAAAAAGTAGCTAGTGCCCGTAATCAGAAAAGAGTAGGTTGTCAAATGAGCTTGAAAAACTGAAGAACATTAGCATAGAACATATTTTTATGTGGTGAAGCAAGTGCAGGAGAACTGACAAACAGAAAATAGAAGTAAACTGGACCATTTAATTACCTGAGCCTCTTCTTCGTTTTCATTACGATAAAACAGAGAAGCTGTTAAAGTACCCTCTCCCACAGAATATGGTTTGAGTAATCTTGAATATCGCCAGCCATACTTTGCAGTATCAGCATTAGAAACAAGCAATATATCCCAAAACAAAAAAGTATTGTCTTCCAGTTTAAGATCAGTGTTCTGCTACACCAAAAATTTAAAAAAAAAAAATCATCATAATCAATAGCAAAAGAAGGATTCAAACCAAGAAAATAGTATTCATCACTGCAACATTGCATACAAAATTTTCAATGAGATTTTTAATAAAAATATTGAGAAGATTACAAAATTATAATCTTCAAGAAATTTTAAAGAAAGATTCTAGTTAATTTCTTCAGTGAAGCCAAAACTCCTGTTTCATAACAGTGTGCAAAATGCCAAGAAGGAAATGATTGATGGTTGATACGAACTATTGGTTGAGTCCAATCATTTTAGTAGCATCAATTACTAATGCTCTTACACAATGCAGAATAAGATTAAGAATCAAATGATTCATTAATTAAAATATTTCGTTGTGGATATTCCACTACCTGTATAAAATGGGATCAAAATCTTTAACAAACAAAATTCAGTATATAAATAATAGTGAACCTTAATACAAATAATAATAGATAATACTGCATCTAGGTATGTCTTTTATCCTATTTTTTTCTTTATCTCTTGGTTTTCATAACCATTGATTAGCTTCCTATCTTCCAAGAGGATCTTTATTCGGATCCCTTATCATCATGCCTCTTTTAGCTGCACATAAAATTATAAAATTAGCCCAGCAGTCATTTGATAAGAGTATGCCTAATGTAGCAATTCCTAACCAACAAATAACATTGTGTGAGGCCATTTTCATAAAATAAATAAATAACATTCTTAAAGGTCCTTCGAGATGGAGACAATCATTTTTTTTAAACCGAACCGAACCGGCCATTTCAACCTGTTTGATAGTGAATCGGTTGGTGGTTTGGTTCTGATTGGGCCAAAAACTGGCTCCACATCGAACCGGAAAGAGCCGACTAGAACCGGCAGTCGAACCGGTCCACCGGCTGGAATTAGCGGAGGAACCGGTCAACCGGTTAAATTGTAATTTTTATCTTATGTCATATTTTTATTAGAAATAATGAAAAATGGTATAAAGCTTTTGATATCACGAAGAATATGTCTTGTTTTAATCATACTGAACTTCATTTTCTTCTTTATCTTTTGTAAAATATACATGACTATTAGTCTATCAACGTTCTTACGCTTTTATATTTTCTTGGTTATGGATGTTTCCCTCTTGTTGACCACTTGAACTTTCATACTGAATTCCATCTAATTTTAATGTCCTTTAAGTTATATTTAATATTTTTTTTATATTTATGTCCTCACCCAGTTCTACCCCCAGTTCAACCCCGGTTCAACCGTTGAACCTTGAACCTCCTCCTCTATCGGTTCAATGTCTGGTCCGATTTTCTAAACCTCGGATATTATAATGCTACCTTTTGTAATACCCCACATTTCAAAAGGTTACACCAAAATTTCTACTAAAAATTATACAGCACTTTGCACACGTCCCAAATAATTCACAAAAATAATTTTATAAAAGTCTTCGATTCATTTTGATCATATTGACATATAGAATAAATAAATAAATAAATATATTGGCAATAAATAATTAGTGCTTACTAAAATCATTTTGCTAAAGATTTTCTTAAAATTATTTTTCACATATTAAGCAATTGTATCAATTCACACGCCTGTGCATACAGTGAATGCTATTTGATGGGTATAAGAGATAATAATTTATAATATTTACATAATCTTATGAATCCTAAGCACTTGTCCACTTATCATCCTTGTTTTATTCCAATTTTATCCCATTATGTCAAACAAATAGATTTCATGGTGGCACGGAAAATAGAAAAAGGCAGGTCTCCAGTAAGGCAGGAAGAGAAGGAAAAGAAGATGAAAATGGAAGAAGAGAAAGGAATAAACAGAAAAAAAATAATAAGAAGAAGAGAAGGGAGAAGGTGGATCAGCCAAAACGAAAAGAGAAAACAAAAGGACATGCAAAAACAAGAAGAGAAGAATCAGGAGTCTAAGAATTCAGATAAGAAATCAAAATTTAGAGGCATGAATAAAGAATAATTGTTTTGATGTAAAAATATTATTAAAGATTATTGATTATCTTTTAGCTATTGATTTTCGATTTTATATTGAATAGAGGAATTTATATTTTTATTAGCTTATATGTGAAAGAACAATATCCTAAGGAAATAGAAATTATAAGAACATGTGCCCCGAGGAAGATTCCTAATTTATGAGAGATACTCAATCTCTTATATATGAAGCAAATAATTCGTAGGCTTAAAATTTATAGAATTTTTTCATATTCAGGATGTCCTTAGCACTTGATGTTGCCATTAAAATAACTATATTTTATATAATCACTTTTTTAAAATTTTTATATTAATTTCATTATTAAAATCTTAATATTATTTTATAATACAATGAATAATACAATACAAAATCATAGACATTTACATGTCATATTCTATCTTGACGCATGTCAATACAAATTGATTGATAACATGGGCAAAGCAAATTTAAGTATTTCAAATAGTTTATGATTATGCTAAATTTTACGTGAGAGAAATTGGCTAAAAGAAGAAATCCATGAAAGGTCATGTAGATTGGCAAATGATGAGGGCTTGTACAGATGAAAAACAGAAAGAGAGAAACATCAACAGTGTCAAATGAGATTTGTGATTCTTTTGTCTACAAGTTAATGCCTTGCGATCTAGCCTTAAATGAAGAGGACATGGATAAAGGATTTGTTATAAATTGGTTTCGAATCAATGCAAGAAACAATGAAACAAGCAAAAGAAAGAATACACAGATTTTATGTGGAAACCCAATGATAAGGAAAAACATGGGCAAAAAAGGAGCTTCAGTATATCAAATATAAAATTACAAGTTGAGAGTTTCGGTTAACATAAAACCAAAACAAGAGAAAGGTGAGTTAACTTGTATAAAACAAATGGGGTTTATAGTCTTTAGCAAGACCCATTTAAAGGAAATAACTAAATTGAACCAATAAAATAAGAACACATGGATTGTAATATAAAGAATATTATAAGAATGATCAAACGGTAGAAACCTTCAATCTGTGTGCTCACAGTTTCCTTGTAAAGCTTCAATCCATGTGCTCATAATTTCCTTCTAAAATTTCAATTCAGGTGCTCATAATTTTCTTATGAGACAAACGGACCCTCAAAATTCTAGCCACAAATTTAGCAATCTCTACCTTAACATGAATTCGAAAAAAATGCATAATAGATAAATTCTAGGCGCAAATTTAGCAATCTCTACCTTGACATGAATTCCAAAAAAAACTTTAAAAGCGATGTGTTATACTTTAAAATTTATGCGAGAGGGTAACTGAACATAGGCTAAGGGCCCGTTTGGGGCAGCCTATAAGTGAAAACGCCGTCTCACCATTTGGAAAACACATTTCGGCAGCTTATCCAAAAACACGGTTTGGTTTTTACACTGAACGCAGGCCGCAGGCCGAACCCCACGGGTCGCATTTTAGGATAATCTGTTTATCTGGATAAGCACAAGCTGCCTCAAACGCACTATAAGACGTATTATAAAGATTTCTCATAATCAATTTGGATTTATGACGGGCATG